CACCTAACTAGACTGAACTAACTCTTGACGTAGTCCAGCATTTGTTGTCATGAGGAACTAATATTAATGAGATTAGCTGGGACTCTACCCAGGCCCCAGACTAATGGCATCGCTGGCAGTTCTTAGCGAGGTCTCCGAAAACCACAGGGCTAGCTAAGACCTGCTTCGTCCTGCTCCCGTTGCTCTGCTGGTGTCCTCTCTGCAACCACATCTTCATCTTCTCTGCAACCACAACTTCATCTTCTTTGCAACCATAAAGTCCTCTCTCTGCACACGTTTGCACATCTTCACATATCCGCTCGAATCACAAAACTCAAATTCGCTAAGATTGCGAAACCCATATTCGAATCGCAAAATCCAGACACGAATTGCAAATCTCAGATTCGAATTGCAAAACCAAGTTCGTTTGAAGCTCCACAAAACCTAGATTTGATAGGAAAATTTTGTGGCCTCAAAAATTCAAAAGGAAATAACCAAAACCAAGGCTACTTTGCAAACCAAATTCCTTCTGCAACTTTCAAGAGAGAGACAGAGGTTCTAGATAGGGAAAATTTGGGGCATGATTTTTTTTTTTTTTTTTTTTTTTTTTTTGATCCATTTGGTGCACGATTATATATTCCTTTGTTTTCGAGAGAAGGAATAGAGTTGTCTAGAAAAAGGAGAAAGAAAAATAAAAAGAAAAGGGAAAAAAAGAAAAAAGAGAATTTTTTTTATTATTTAATTATTTTGGTTATTAGTCCGACATCGCACCAAATGCTACACTAAATTAGTCCAGCTTAGTTTCTTAACCTGGTCTAATATGAGATACTCTAGTGTAACAAACGCAACCTAAAGGAGCCAACCACCAAACCTCATCGTTTCATTGAAAGGAAAAGATTTATAACTAATAGCACAAAACAAAGTAAACGACACCATCTGATTTTAAGTCGTCTTCTTCCCCTGAAAACATTAAAACCCAGCAGCGCAGCGCACCAACCCCAAATACCAGCGGGTTCAGAAGATTGGAGAGACAGAATCTTCACTCTCAGTGACCATTTCCGACAACAGGGGCGTCGCCCCTCTTTGCTCCTATGTAGCTTCGCCACTGCATGCACCCAGTAGGTGTTAAGTTTCATCATAAAAGGCCTTTCACATTTTGAGCAAGGTTCTAAAAAATGCTAGGCGCTAGTCGGGCGACGGGCTGGTGGCTAGGCGGGGTGGTCTAGGCTGGTGCCTAGGCGGATTTAGGTAAATTTCTTGTATATATATCTTGTAAATAAATGCATATTGACACTTACAAAAAATTATACTTGTATGAAATCCATAGATAAGATAATAAAAGAAAGATAAAATGCAAAAAGAGTATCCAACAAGTCCAAAACTTAAAAACACATTAAGCATATATGCCATATAACCATAGTGAGGAGTATTATAGGATGACACATGTACAACAAGTTCACAATTTTAAACCACTTAGACTTAGATAGGATATTTTATTTTATTTTTTAATTTCATTAAAATAAAAATAAAAAACCACCTAGCACTGCCTAGCCCCGCCTAGAGCCCATCCAATTTTTCCCACTGATTTGCAAGAAAACGCCTTGGCTCACCACCGCCTAGGCCGTTTTTTAGAACATTGATTATGAGTGTAATCATTCATTTAAGTTGTATTTTATTATGTCAACACTGCCCTTCATGTGTGACCACATCTTTCGTGGGTCATGCATGCAACTGATTCCACATCCGTAACATCTTTTAAGTAATTAACGGAAGATTCTTCGTCAGGCTAAGGTCTTATTAACAATTGAAATGGTCACGGTCATAATCCTGCTCACAATTGGAACGGTCGTCAGGCTCAAGTCAAAGTGAATGGCTTTGATACCATATGATGTCATGACTTTAGTGTCAAGTATATGTTCTAACCATCAACATAGTCCAACATTCATTGGGTTTTATTACGAAAAAGAGTGGAACAATGCCATATTAATTGTAATATATTCTGTCAAGTTTCTAATGTGAAATTACGTTCTTCAACACAACCTTCGCACACTCTTCTTCACCCTTCTTTTGGGTATGTATTTCCCCTCTATCATAGTATCACTAACATAAAAAGTAAAAACCAAAAGATAAAAACAGAGTAGTTATCGCCTAAATTTTTCATTTCCAACACACCTCTTCATTCAAGTGTGACCCATGATTGACATTATAAGACTCATTTATAACTCTGGTGACGACTGATGAGTATTTGCAAATTACGCATGCACTCAAGTCAAGTGAGATGACTAAACAGTACGAGCAGTCCCTTTTTATTAGGTCTTCTCAACCATCAAAATTGCTTGTGAGGTGTAAAGAGAGGAGATATTACTGTGGATGACGATGACAGTTTATATATTAGGTGTGCTACTGCAGATCGAGTGCAGCCAACGCCCACCCCCCCCAAAAAAAAAACCCAGGAATCATGTGAGTCGTCCGTGGTTGAGCCAAAGAGCTTTTTAGGGTTTTGGAGCATGGGGACGCGACGACAGAGGCGGTTGTTTTTTGAACGTGAAGTAGGTTGGTCAAGAAAACCACTTTATTAGACTCACCAACCAACCATATGCAACTACCGCAGGTACTGCCATGCACTAGTTTTGAAACTTTTGAAGCCTATTTTGTAATAATATTTAAATTTTCTGCTCAACTGATTTGAGGACCACCCTCTTCCTAAGCCCATCAAAGTGACCATGTATCAAATACAAGACACTAGCTTTTGATAATATACAAATGTATTTGAGTATGTTTAAAATTAAAAAATACTAATAAGGTTGGCAAGTGATGAATGATTTGAGGTATAGCACATAATTTGACCTAATTAAAATTTTAAAAATTGCCATAGAATGACCTTTTTGGTTTTGGTTTACGACTGTATTTTCACCCCAAGCATGTCCACCATTTAAAAAAAAAAAAAAATTAACACGAAACTATTTTTCATTTAAATGTGAGTATCCATCCCAAAATTAATTAGCAATAGATAACTAGGTCTAACATCTTTTAGCATGTCAGACTTCTGGATCATTCTGTGTGGGTTAGCCCTCAACTCGAACTTCCGTTTGTCATGCCAGCTGGTGTTTAGGGTACAAAGATCAAGAAAGGAAAAACCTAGCAATAAAAAGTAAAAAACCCTAGTTGGAATATATTTAAGGAAAGTCTTGGCTCATCAAGAATTTATGAGAAACTCCTCCTCAAGATACATTGTGATTAATTTACGGAATGTCATGCTTACGATCAAAACCGATAATATTATTAATCACTATCTAAAGATCATTTAAAAAAAAAAAGATTGTTTAGTTATTGAATAGTATAAAACCAATTCGTCAGTATCAGTAGAAGTATTATAAATTGTCTATCTATTTACAATAGTTGACCGACTAAACGACTTTAGTTTTAATTGATTTTTTGTATAGATAATTTTTATAGAATGATTTATAATATATCTGGTTTCGATTGTAAGCGCGAAATTTCATGAATTGGTAACAAAGTATCTCAAGGAGAAATTTATTCTCAATCTTAAGGAGCCAAACTCTTTCCACATATTTAAATGAAACATTTAAAGAAAAAAGATTCAAAAACTGTAGTAAAAGTAGAGGAAGTATATAAAATAAAAAAGGCCATAACATTACTAAAAAAGAGAAATAACACTAAATCACATTAGTACCAAGTGACTATAGTATTATATTTTTTTTAATTCCCTGCATCGAGGGCATGAAACGGTAAACAAGGCTCACGGATAAGATTAAATTAGTCAATAATTGGATAATGATTAAAAGAGTAAGGAGATAATCAAAGTAAGGAAGTGCACGTGGAAGAGCGGCAACACCTAGATTGAAAGATTCCCTTAGCTCTTTGTGTTCACACCTACTTTAATGGGCAAGATCCCATCCAAAATCCTTTTCACACCTGATTTTCTCATTTAGTTTGGTGGCAGTTCAAGCTCAATGATTATTACAGGTAACATAGCATGCTAATTATACTTGATATTTATATGGTAACATTTCACTACAATGGAAAGTTTTTGAAATTTCAAGTGAACTTACACTTCTGTCTTAATTTTTTATATAAATTAAATTTCTAGCAATTTGTTATATCAAGTTTGGAAAATCATTATTTGGTATTTGATTATTAAATCTAATCTTTACAATCTAGCTAATTGATGTACTTTTTAATTGAAGTTTAACTAATATATTAGCAATGTTACCACAATTGTTAAAATTGACTCTTAAAATAAATTTTAGTGACGATTACACATATCGCCAACATGTGCAAGATAAGCCGATGAATAAGATTATTCTTATCTTTGACTTATTTAAGAAAAAAATAAATTAGAATCAAACTCTTATCGTGCAATAAATAAATGACAAATATAACAAATGATCTACCAATTGAACTAAACGCTCTCCCCATTCTTATCACTGATAATGCCAAATGAATTGCACCATAATTTTGATCTACTTTTGTAAGTAAATACATATTAATATTATGGTTTGTTACGAGTTTGATATCCATACACTCAATTTTATTTCTCATACACTTTATTTAATTTTCGATTATTAAATCGATGAATTTCAAATTTTCAACGAACATAAATTAACAAAAAAAATAAATAAATACGAGAGTGAATAGCATCACTCATTTGTTATTATTGACGCGGATTGGTGATGGTATCATCCCATATCTTTCAGTTGGAACCGATCCCCAAAAAAGGACCCACGTCCAAAGGATGATGATGCTGAAGAGGTCAAACTTCCCACTACTAGCCACGTAGGACAACATGTCATCCGACGTGGCAACAAATTAGGTTTGACTCTCCTCTCGTAAAACTTTTCCTTTTTCCCATTACCTTACCACCTTACCCCTCACGACCCTTTTAATAAATAATTTCCCTGTCCAATCCTCACCCTTTGCGGTGTATATATAACACAAACTACATCTCTGCATTTGCTCTCCAATATTATTCCGTTCATACAAAAGAAAAACAAGAAAAAATGGGAAATTGCATAAGGCATGATTCGTCCATGAAATGGGCAGGAGAGGATTGGGGGTGTCTAGCAGATGGAATGAAGGGTGACGATTATCGCGATCAAACGGACGTAAAGATCATGAAGAAGAAGGACAACAAGAAGATTGCAGAAGCAAGCCAGATGGATTCATTTTGTTCTACAACAACAGCAACAAAAAGTAGTAGTAGTAAAGTTGGGGCAGCAACAGAGGTGAAGATCAAGATCACAAAGAAGCAGTTGGAGGAGTTGTTGGGTAAGGTGGAGTATAAGCAAATGTCAGTTCAGCAGGTTTTGGCTCAGCTGATTAGGGTTAGCGATGGCTTTGAGACCCAGTTGCAAAGGTCTTGGAGGCCTGCTCTTCAAAGCATTCCTGAGGTCAATTAATTTTGCCTTTTCTATATGTATCGGGTTTTTATTGTTAATATGGGGAAGAGTAATTTGCTTTCTTAATCATATTTTGTTCAATATTAATGTACATACTCTAGAGTTCAGAAAGAACCTGAAAAAAAAAAAAAGAGTTCAGAAAGAAAAGAAAAGCCCCAAATAGTTTTGCCTCTCTCTAGATCTCTCTCTCTCTCTCTCTTGGTGACACAGGGAGGAGGGTGGCCCTAGTCCGCTCTTCTCAAGCTCTACTTCAATTTGGAAGAGGAACTTACATGCAACAAGTTCATTATTAGTAGGGTCATCGGATCTAATAATACAATATTTAGAGAGAAACTTACACATAACATTGAATTATTATATCAAAACGCCACAATGAGGGTGAACCCATTCATTGTAAATCATTCTCCTCCCTAGATATAGCTATAATTACTTTTCTAATCATTTTATTTTAAGAAAGAGCCTCCTCTTAATTATAAAAGGGACCCAACAACTACCTTTGCTACAAGAGCTGGTGGCTGCGACCTGTGAGTATTTTCTTAATGCGGTAAAGCTCCTCAACATATTGGTAAAGATAAAACCCAATAAAAGATTAAAGGTTGTTTAAAACAAAGAGTACCAAACGGCCCAAGACGATCCCCAACACTAAGTGTATGGTTCCTTATCAAACCTATTCCTAAACTTGTACAACGAAAACACTAATTTGATTAAGAAACAATAATGCTCTTGTAGCAAATTGTTGTGTCCCTTTTATAATTAAGAAGAGCCTCTTTCATATAATGAAACGGTTAGAAATGAATCTAATCTTACATTTAACGAGTTCACAATCGTTTAATGTGAAAAAGCTTTCTTTAGCTCATTGGCCTCAAGTTTTATTTAACGTATAAGCTTTGTTGATTGTTTTTAGACCAAGATGCTTCTCAAGTTCGACATATATACATACATTCAACTCAGATCAACTCTTAAAACCAACATGAATCCACAAAGGCGTATCTAATTCATTAGCTCCACGCTAATTCAAGCCATTCTTCACTTGATAGTTTTGAAACTTAAGAGCAACTCCAATAGACTTGCCAAATGGTGTCTGTTGCTAGATATGTAAAGAGCCACATAAGATAAATTAGTTTCAACAGACTCAATTAACAAAATTATTAAGGATTCTAACCAAAATGATCCCTAAGATTGACATCATTCCTCATTTTGCTATGTGACAATGAAATCAATAGAAATGGTCTCTGAGTTTGTCTACCGTAAATTATTTTGGTTTTTCCATGAAAATCTATTAATATTCTTGTAAGGGAAAGGAGTCTGTTTGACAAAGATACGCTAAAAAAGGTGGTCTCCGTGATCATTCTCATGACAATTTAACGAGGATATTAACAAAAAATTTCACAGAATGACCAACTTGATTTACAATAAACAAACTCAGGAATCACTTCTATCGATTTTCATTATGAATGATTAAAGTGCAGAGTTATGTCAATCTCATAGATCATTTGAGATAAAAAAAACCTTTATTAAATTTGGAATCTTGAGTTCACTCTCTATATCTATGGACTCGACACCACCCAGCAAATACTCTTTTTATTATATTAATGTGTCTTGTCCACAATCTCCTTCATTTATCCAAAAACAAAAAATAAACATGGGACCAACTTACCTCATATTGGATATGAAATAATATTATAACTCAACTTACAAATTTATTGGATTCCAAAATTGTGAAGTAGCAAATTTTAGCCTTCAAACTATCACGTATGTTAACAAACTTGTATTTGAAGAGATTGTTAGAAATGCTAAGTGCTAGTTCAATTTATCCAAAAAAAAAAAAAAAAATCACGAAACTCTTCAAAAGAACCAACCATCCCTAACAATCCGGTCGCCTGTACCACATTTTCTTCTATTTTTACGGTCTCATCGCTCAAACTATACCATTCACTATCGCTTTGATAATTTGGAGATACGAAGTATTGATTAAGAAGAAACCAAAACTCTATGAATATTAGTCATGGTTCATGTAGTGCAAATGTGGTTTATAAACTTAAAAAAGAGTCACATACTTATCACGTCATTAATTAAACAACAAACCAGACAACTTAATAGACAAAAAAACATAAACTGATACATTTTAAAAACCTCATTATGTACGAGAAAATTAAAATATCATAACTCAGTTTGAGTATGAAGATTTGTAAAAATATAAAATTAGCCCAAATAATTATTCAAAGGACCCAGTCAGAACCCTAGCTCAAAAAGTGATGAAGGAGTGCAAAGCACATCTTCTGATTCCTCCCCGTTCACGCCGCTGAAAGTCGAACTTGTCAGCCCGCCAAAAACAAAAAATTGTACAGACAAAAAAGGAAATTTATTTCGGCATCCTCTCCAGTTTTACCAAATCAAATCCCGCCCCATAAATCCGACTCTTTCAGTTTCGCTCATTTTCCCTCTCCCTCCAAATTTCAAGACCCAAAATCGATTTCGAATGACCATTTAATACTACGGTCTAGTAATTTTTCTTCTCACTTGTAAGTAAGAGGTCATTGCTTCGTTTCTCGCCAAAAGCGAATTTGAACCAAAATATTGTTGTCTATTGTAATGCTAAACCCACCACCTCTCCTGGTGTAGATAAATATCGTTTATTCAAAAAATATAAAAATAGATTTCGTAGGAACAAACATGGAATGTAATTTAGGAAGTTGTTAACTGGAAGAATGTAGTATTTTTTTTGTTAGATTTGCATAATGTCATGGGTTTATTGATGCGGCAAGGGGCCTTTTTGCAAAACTAATGCTTTTTGGTGATCTGGGTATTAGAGTTATGTTTTGAGATGGGAAAATGGGTAATTCTGGTTGAATCGAAGGGATTTTTAGGGACAGCAGCATAAATAGGGATTTAATTTGGTAAATTTTTGGTTGAGCAGTGGGTTTTGTTAAATAGTGGGGATTGTTAGCTGTTTGTAAGCACAAGCAAACGACATGAATAACGCTATGGCAACCAAATATCGTCGTCATATTAACAACGTTATATTAATGTATTGATACTAAATATCAACATCATATCAATAATAATAATCTAATATCAGTGAAATAACTATATAGTATGAATGTCATTAGCACGGGGTTAATATTCAGTTGCAATATTGTTGTTCTTATATGCACACCTTTATTTCCAACCTTTAATTTGAGTAATACAATAAGAATCAATGATTGAGTAATAAAATAAGGGACAAGGATTGTCTGCCCTTCCATTTCCGGTGCCCTTCCGTGCCTTACTGTTTGTGTGGTCACAGTTAAACCACGTCAACATTTTATATTATTATTCATTTTTGTCTTATTATCGCTATAACAAAAAACAATATAAAATGTTGACATGGCTTAACCGCGACCACACAAAACAGAAGGGCACGGGAGGGCACCGGAAGTAGGAGGCAAACAATCCTTGTCCAATCAACAAATAAAAATTAACAGGAATGTGTACGACGGAAAAAAGGTGTGAATCATTTTACAATGTTTAAACTCGCAGAGCTTTCTAACCTACACATTTCTGCCCCTAAAATGGACCCATCACCGTCTTCAATCGCCAAGTCCGCAGCTGCATACTCACTACGCGAGAATCGATCAAAACTAAACTAAAGAAAGTTCAAAGATGTTATGAGAATGTATCAGGCTACGTTTGATGAAAGATTCACAACCTTTAGCTTTTCCAATCACGGAGGTACAAAGTAATTTATTTGCCACATAACAAAACCACATACAAAAACAATTCATCCGGTACAAGGGAGATCATTTTCGGTTCTCGCTTTCGGAACACTGTCTTTCCCACAAACAGAAACGAAAAAGGAAGAGTCCCCGACGACAACCTCTTATACAACATTTTATGCTCGAAAACAAAATTCACTATCCAACACGGTCAGATGATTATGTTTGCAACAAAATGTTCCAATGACTCCTTCGCACGCTTCAGCACCTATGCTCCGTATCACTTTTGAGACCTCATCAGTTTGCTCAAGTCGATGACATAGGTCTTCGGTGGAAGGACAAGCAAAAAACTTGGTCCATTATTGACTAACATGTTCTTGTGTAGCTACCTGCTGCCCATCTATTCAACGGCGTAAAACGTGACTACAAAAGATATACAGTTGTCAGAACAAACAAGAAACTAAGCCTTTAAACTTTGCATGCATCCTGCATCGTTGCAGTCATTTGTGATCAGAAGTGTTCTGCTGGTTCGATCCCTTGTGCTCCTCTCATTTAGGAGCCCTGGATCTGAATATGTGTTTGCACATCCTGAAATGATTAGAGTAGCATGATTAATTCTAGAGATTGAAAACCAAATGTAACAGCAACAACACAGATGGAATTAAGTGAATCGAGAAACCGGCAGGAAATTAGGGAAATGCGTGCAGTGCATGTAAAGGAGCGAGTTACTCCAATCACAATAATTACCCCCGATGTCATTTGTTTCTTATTTAACCCATCAAAGTGTGATGGATTTTCAGAAAGGATTGATTTGGCTGGCCAAACAACTTATTGATCTTGGAGTCCTACATTTAAAAGGTCTTCACATACCATGTTGACACAATTAAGAACATAAAAACGAACATGGAGCATTATATTTATAGTAAAGTCAGAAGCTAGGAAGTGCAAGAGAATTACGAGTTCAATTCCTCATTCCTGCTCTTTATATCACTTGACCATAAGACTGGGTCAACATTCTTTGGCAACGAGTCTTGTTGTTGGGTTTTTTCCCTAAGCCACTGCTCCACTTTATAGCACTCATTAACAACCTGAAACATGAAAATTCCATCGCTGAAAATAAAATAGTCATATTTATACAAGGCATAAGTAACTAACTGAATTGTCATACCGATTCTTTATCCATGGGTGGAAGTGAATTCACAGCCATCCGGTAATCCCCAATGCACTTTAATAGATCCCTTGTAGCTTGCATTCTTGCTTCCTCATCCTTATATCGGTTCTCAATTGGATCTACCAGCTAGAATAATCAAATAGACATCAAGAATGGATAAAGGTAACGGGAACTTAAATTCTCAAATTTCAGGAAGTGGAGAAAACCTTCTTAAGATCTTCCAGCTTTGAAGTGTAAGCATTTTCTGTTTCATCTTCTCCATCATCATAAAGCCATTCCTCTGTCTGCTGTAGGCTCCTGGAAATGCCCTCCCTCTCTTGATCACTTGCGAAGCTTCGATATGTGTTGAAGAGCTATTCACATGCATATCTTATGTTAAAAGCCAGCCCATGACAGAAAGTGGCAGCATGAACTAAAAGATCTACGAGAGTCCGACTAAGCTACAGTCAAACATGCTCAGCTATGGATGATGAGATGAACGGAGATACAACAATAAGAGACTGATATTTGGCCCAATGATATATAGAACTGGCGATCATCCCATACTATAAGACAGTTCAAAAATTTGTTTGCCAAAAAGCCAATTCATAGTCTCAAAGCATAAATCCTAAAGTTTCCAGACAGCAATTTCAACATTATGTATTTAGATCTTCATCACAACATGAAAACTAATCTCTTGAGTTGCAATATATTAAACCGAGGCTATGTAGGGATTAAAAAAATTGGCCTCATAAACAAGTACAGATTCCAATGTTGGAAGTAGAATGTTAGTGTTCAGTCCTTATGCTGCTTCAGAAAAGGTAAATGCCAAAACAATGCAAAGTGTTTTAGCAGGTTGAATCACAAAGCCAAAGAAAACATGATGAAACAATAATACAGGCTATACCTTATTCCGCATCTCATAGACGTAAGACTCCAATGCATTCTTTTTGTCTTTGGTTTGTTCCATAATTCTGTCCTGTTGAGCTAATTGGAGCTCTTTGTCTAGAGCTTCGGAAAGTTCAGCCCTTGTCATTCCACCGTATATACTTTCACTAACAGGTATCTCTAGCCTCCTGCTAGCTTTATTGTTTCTTCGAGGATCACCCTGGAAAAGTGGATACCTTTCAATAAGTTTACATCTGCTCCAGAAACTTTAAAGAACCAAATTTGACAAGAACTTTGCAAAACCGAATAAATATGCATTGCAGATTAAGTACAAGCAACAAGATTACTGTAGATTAATTATAAGGGAATTATCGCATTTATTCAAGATCCAGATTTATCTCTAGTTCTTCCAGCATGAAATAAGGGAAGAGTTGAAAACAAACTTACACTAGTATGTGAAGAGTTGTGCTGCATAGTACTTTTTTCAAATCCATCTGCAACAGCCTCAGTAGAACCAGAAGCAGTTACATAATCAGTGTCCATTGGATCCATTTTTGAATTGGTAAGACCCCTTGTGGAAGAGTCATCTCCATGTTCTTCCATCACCTGAAGCCATTATAAGGTTTATACCACAAAAATTTTGACCATAAAAAATACTACAAAACAAAGATCCTAGGAAGGAAACCAGTAGATGACAAAGTTAGTAGTGTCAGAAAAAAAATAATATTTACTTACCATAGCTGATTCAACAGAGACAACACCGTGGAGGTTTAAAACAACTTTAACTTTAACCCTTGTTTTTTCGCTATGGGAGCATTGGAAAGGGCCAATCTACATAAGCAGCAGTCATTAGTTACAAAGTAGCAGTAATCCATTAATAACAGGTATTTTCATTGCTAGGTAAGCTTAAAAACTAAAAGGATCTAACTGACATTTGCATAGTAAATATTTTTAATAGCGTTTTTGGTGACATTTCTTTCCCTCTCATGCCCACACAAAAACATTTAAATTTTAAACAGATGAATTGTTTAACATGTCAAAATCTGAGGTTGTCGCCCCCAAGTGTTCGATAAATTGTCTAACAAAAAAAATAAGATTTCCATCATGGCATCATCCTAGATTCTTATCAAGGCTTCAGAGATTAGACATGGAACTTAGGGCTCCGTGGCAACATGTTTGCCTTTGATTCACCTTCACTTCTCTCATGTAGTCATCCTTTATTCACATTTTTTCATGCACCTCCACCAATAAAATTCTCAGTGTCACATATTCCCCTTAAAGATTAGACATTGAACTTAGTGTTCAGTGGTAGCATATTTGCCTTTGATCTACCTTCAAATCTCCCATGTAGTCATCCTTTATTCACATGTTTTCATGCACCTCCACCAATAAAATTCTCAGTGTCACATATTCCCTCTCCCAACCCACGGGAAAAAGGGGAATGAAGAGCATAATATATTACCGTAAAACAACAAATATCAGAAGATACACCGGCAGGGACTTCAGTGGGATTAGCGTAGAATGCTTTCAAATGAAATAAACTGCTTCGTTGAAACGTCAGTACTTTAACACTTGGAATGGGTTGCCCTTTTGGAAACAGGATGCCATTTGTCCCTGTGCAAATTGGAGCCTCATCTATTAAGAATGCTATAGAGAAAGGAATTGAATCTTGAACCTGCATATAGATCCGGGAAAACCATTATGTACATTGTGGGCAACTATCCAGATAAGAAAGACCTCTTACATATGCGTGTACATTTTATAATTAAAGGCTTTAATCCCTTTGAGTCTATTAGGGATTTTCGGAATGCACATCATATCCACAGCAAGTGCTGTTGTTACCTTCAAGGCTTCAACCAATAAAATCAAAATCAAGCAAACATCTTTAACGGATTATTATGCTTTCTTCCTTCTTAGGTGCTGCTAATGTACAGAACTGAAAATTAATCCTTTTTTAAGGTGGTCCCTAAGCTTAAGCTTTGTGATAGGACTTTTCATACTCTCAAATTTCAAAAACCAGAACCGAAAAAGGGATGGGGGGAAAACAAACTCATTTCTTGTTGTATACAGGGCATTGCATACAACAGCACAGTGATGCATTGCATATGAACCAATATATCATGGTATTCTTCACTGAAATAAAGTACTGTATTTTGTGACCAAGATATGAAAAATTGTTTCAAAATACAAACCTCATATTCTCTGACTCGAAAAACAGGACTCAGCATTGCACATTGAAGAGCACATCCACGTGCTACACACTCACTTGCATTCAGTGTCCGGCGGGGTTCATTCCTGAACACAGAAGCTAATATTCTAGCAACCGCTGGGATCCTAGACCCTGACCCGACAAGCTCCACAGAATGAATCTTATCAGCAGTCAAACCTGCATCAGCTAGAGCTTTGCTACAAGGAACACCAATCCTATCCAATAAACCTGAAGCCAGCATCTCAAAGTCTTCCCTGTTAATGAAACCCTTTACATCTTTCTCATCCATTAAGCACTCAATATTAAGAGGTGCCTCAGCATTCGCACTCAAAACTTTCTTCAGCTTCTCACATGCTGCCCGTAGCCTGATACTTGCCTTGACATTAGAGTATACATCAATTCTGTACTGCTCCTTGAACTGTGCAGCAAAATGCTTAAACAAGACCTCATCGAAGTCTCTCCCTCCCAAGCTTCTGTCAAAAGTATGAGATAGGATCTTCATTTGCCCAGCCTCAAATGATGCAATAGAGACCTGTGTATCACAGTGACCAATGTCAACAAATGCCACATAAGTTGGACCGGAAGTTGAGAAATCTGTTTTGTAAATCCCATAACTAAGAGCAGTTGCAGTACAATCATGCATCAATCTCAAAGGCTTCAACCCAGCAACTGTGGCAGCATCCAAATACGCATGTCTTTGCAAGTCTGTAAAGTACGACGGAATACTAATCACACAATCTGAAATGGGCATTTCCTGATTCTTCTCTATTAGATCTTTCAAATGTGCAAAAAGCATTGCTGTAACTTGAACCGGCGTAAATGTATGAGTCGCACCCAAGTACTTCAAATGAATCAAAATGCCACCATCTGGGGCTTCAGAAGTTTCAAAGGGCAAAATTCGAAGGTCACTTTGAACATCAGGCTCAGTAAATTTTCTACCAATCAGTCTCTTCACTTGAGACACAGTAGATTTCGGGTTCATCATTGCAGAAGCAGCACCTGCAGACCCCAGAAACCTCTGCTTCTCACCAAAACAAACCACAGCTGGGGTTTCACGTTTCGACTCATCATTCAACAAAACATCAACTCCCCGTTGCTTCACCACCGCAATTACACAATTCTCATTTCCAACATCAAACCCCACCACACTCATTTTTAACAAAATTTCGACACCAAACCAACACACCAATTCAGTTCCACAAAACCTATGATTTGATCCCAAAACTGCAGACAAGCAAAGAAAAACAGAAATGTGATCAAACAAGCTTTCACTAACAAATGCTTAATCAATTTTTTTAATTTTTTTTAACAATTGCTGTTATACGTTAATCAAATTTCTAAACGCAGCTAAATTTAGCCATCAGTACATTTCAATTTTCAAATATGAGGACCCAGAAACTCAAAATCACATCAGGATATTTAATTTCCTTCGATTTTCCCAGAAACCAAACAAAATTCAAATGTTCAATATTTCAAAAGCAAATCCTCGAAGTACTTGAACGAAATCTGATAAAAAGATGATCAATAAAGCAGGTGAGGAAAGTGCTTGCAGTACCTGTTTGATAAACGACGTTCCGGAAACAATTCGAAGAACAATTTCAAAGAGAGGAAGAGTCTGGTCGAGAGAAAAACTCTGCCGTTTGCTCGCACTGCAAAATATACAGCGTCATATTTGTCCTTCATAAAATTGTGGCTTTTACGGGGGTCTGTTTGAAATTAATTATATTTGCCGGAATGCCTTTCTATTTTTCGTATTTTGAAAACACCACCATCATATTTCCGTTTTTTTAAATTTCAAAGTACTTTTATCTTTCCCAATAGTTCGTGTGTGTTTGAATTCTATACGTAGGAATTATCCAATTTGAGTTTAATTTTTATAACATTATTATTATATTGGTGCGAGTTTGATAAGTGTGAGTTGTAACCATTAACTTAATATTTCTTGCACATTCTGAAGTCTGATTTTTATAAAATTAAAATTAGTTTTCTGGCAAACTATGTATAGCCCAAAAAAGCTTAGGAAAAGAAAAAAGTAAAATAAGAGACTAAGAAGTAGTGCTTGATGAAATTTCTTCTTGGCTAAGATTCGCTTAACCTATCACGTTTTCAGGGGAAAGTTCTAAAGTACGAGTTGTTCTGGAGCAAGTACTTCAAGTGCAATTACCAACTTGCTCTAGAACAACTACTTCAAGTGCAATTACCAACTGCTCAAGATCCCGTATCAAGAACGTTTCAATTCTTTTTTATCATACATATATGAAAAAAAATATATTTCATATTTTTTAAAGGATTCTATGGTACCTTTAAGTACCATTTGATTTAATAAAAGTTGAGAATTATCTTAGAGCATTGATTAAGTTTAACGAATTGTCTTTACCGTTATATACAATTCATTTCAATAAAAGTTAAAGATTATCTTAAAGATGGATCATAAAATTGAAAATCGATCAATGTAGCCTCTAAAAATGAATATGACAAATCAATATAATCATTCTGTCACAATTCCGTCAAAATTTATGTTATGTGATGACGTGTTACATAATTGAGTTCTACAAATATAATTAAATATTGCTATATAGATTAAAAACATTTAAATAATAAAAAACACTTTTTATTTTTATATAATAAATAACTTAGAAAAAGAAAAAACAAGAAGAAGACGGACAGTTCATCTTCTTCCTCGCCTCGCACCGAGCAACCACTACAAATGGAATCATTTGTTGTCATATTTCGGCAAGATTTCATGTCCTCATCCACACTTTAATTGTACCTCAGACAAAGTGATTATTTTAGAAGTTCAGATACTCTAGAAAATGATACAGAGCATGTTGGTTCCTCTTGCAAATCGGTGAAGGAAACTTGCGATGAAATTTCTGCTATTAGAAATGATGCTCTTGAAAGGTTTTCAGATCTTGAAGATCCTGATCTGGTGAACCCAAAACTCTTGGTGAAATACCTTACTTTCGTGCCCGCAAATCAAATTAACCTGTAATTTTCAATTTTTAACAACTGGGTTTCCATTAATCTGCATAATAAGAAAATGGTTGAAGAGAAAAAAGCGACCTTCACAAAACATGTCACTGAAAAAATAAATAAATAAATAAAGAGACGAAAGAAATAAGGTGACGCTTGGTTTGTTTAATATTGGTCAGGCGGCAAGGGAATGGGAGGCCACGGCAAGGGAAAGGGATGCTGGAGTCGTCACTAATTCTCAGCCCCACTCCCCCAGCCTGCACATCCGGTTGGATCAGCATCGGGGAGGATCCATTTCGAATTATCATCACCTGCGAACACGAGGACCGCAGGAACCGGGTGCGACGGTGCCGTTTCAATGGGAGGAGAATGGTGGGTCGCTGGGTAGGAGTCTTTTTATTCTTTTCCTTTTTTTGTTTTTTTTCAATTGTATAAAATAAATTTTTAAATATTTTAAATCCACATGGCAATATCTAATTACATTGTGAAACCCACTTGTGTGTCACATCAGTATATAACGAAATTTTTTACAAACTCAGATCCTAAGCCTAAGGATCAAATGATCTAGGCCGTTGAAATTTGATACAACGACTACAAATAGGGGGCCTCTCTAAAAGCTATAATAATAAATAGGGGGCTACAAATAGTAGTCGTTTGATCAAATTTCAACGACCCGGATCATTTGATCCTTAGGTTCAGGATCATTAGATCCGGAGAGGATCTGAGTTCATTTTTGATAGAATTGTGACAGAAGTACCACATTGATTTGCGACACCCAATTTTCAAGGACAACATTGATTAATTTTCAATTTCAAAGATCATCTTGATGATGTAAGTCAATTTCAGACATTATTTATGATAAAAATCTATTATTTTATTAATGAGATATCTATATCTCGTGAACTTCTTCTTCACGTGTTTTTCTCTTTCTTGTTTCAGCATTTCCATATTCTCCTTTTACGTCTCCAAATTATTCCTAAAACATGTTCTTCATCGTCTCCCATAACTCTTGTGAAATCCCCTGTACACTTACCGTACCTTGCAATTTCTAAAATTATTTCTTATTAATATTTTATTTTGGATTTCTCATTTAAAGTTTATTTTTGTCACAATTGTCATTAAAAACTTGTAAACCTTGTGGGGTCACTCTTAGTTTTTTGAATAGAGCTCAATCTCATAAGCGCATAGGCGAAAACCATTAACAAATAACGCAGGAGAAATAAGCGAGTAAAGGCAATGGCATTTTTTTCAACTACACATCTATATAATAGGTCCCAGATTGTGGGAGTCGGCTTTATATTTCTAGAAAGGCTGACCCACGAGATAGACTCGACAATATGTTTCATCTGTAACTCGACTCGACAGACTGGCTAGTTTTTATGGCTTTTTTTTTTTTTTTTTGGCAAGCTTCGACAACAAGCCTCATCGCCACCACCACTATTCCAACAAATAAAACTCAATCAATTTTTGTCCAATTTGGCCACATTTTCAGGCAAGGTGGAACTCGACTACTCCTAGCTCCCCAATGACAAACTTGTTGTTTTCGTTCACCCCGACACCAACCATCACCACAATAGACAACTCTCGACCCCAAGAATAGATCTTTGGATCCCATCACCCATAGGTGCAGCCACGCCATGAAATTCCGACGAATTAGTGACTTCCACTATGATTTTTGCCGTCATCTAGTCAGTTTTGAACTCCAGTGAATTTATGAAAAATGTTCTAATGTTCGTGACCCTTCTTAATGTGGTATATTTTGAGCCAATTTGGTGTTGTCGAAGTTCCAGCAGGATCTCGCCCGCTGGCCATTGCGTGTAGCAACACGCAGCCTTGATGATCTCCTTTGTCTTCCTAGGTTTCGATGCCTTTAATTCATTTTTGATAATCGTTTGACGAGATTCAACCTTAGGAACCTAGTTTCTTAAGTGGCTACCACTTGACCTTTTTAGTGGGCAACGTTCCGACCATTGGATTGTCATGAAATTATAGTCGTTGTTGAACTATTAGGTCGATTTAGTCATGCCTTGGGAGCAAAAAGTGTTGTGGTACATTTACAACCTAACATCACATGTCAATTTTTGAGGTATCTCGAGATCGGGGCGTGACAATGCTACTCTCATCTTACTCTTCCCAAATCGAGTTACCACCTTTTCATTCCATCTTGTTTAGGGTTTTTCGACAATGAAGATTTTTGGTGAAGGATATTACAATCATGAAAAGTAGATTATGACCACTACCAAGTTGAGGATGTATTGTCCTTCATTAAATTTTGTTATTGTTACAAACCTATATCTCACTGATTTTCCTTTTTCCTAACAACTAATTATTTAACTTACTAACGCTATCACTCTAATAAAAAGAAGTATGCATATTTTCAAAACACTGGTGTTCACAAAACCACCCTAAGAAACCCAAAATCCATCTCCATCATCCAAAACTTTTACGACCGGCCCCTAATTTTCGTATAATTTTGTTCTCACTAGTGGAAAATGACCAAAATGTCCCTAAAATGGTTAGCATTGACTTTTGTAGACTTTGTCTTTCGTGGTGCGTTTGACGTAAGGATTAGCATATTCTTATAGTACTCACTATTCCAAACGCGTCATTATGTCGAGAGTACTCTATAATGATAGGTGTATGCAGTCATATACCCAGCTTGTCATTACTTTGAGACTATTCAGTAATGACATGATTATACTATCCAGCTTCCACTAGCTACTGCTAGTGGATGATATTGTATGCTATACCATCGAAATCAGTAGCAGTTGCTGTGAGCATATTTGGCATTGAGGCATCTTCTCAGTCTTTGACATATCTTTATCGAGTAGGTTATATACTCAATTTTATTTGTAGAACTAGTATTAGGCAACTATGCTCTTAACATATTGTTAAGCATGTAATAGAGAGTTAGAGACCGATTAAGTCTTGCCTTTTAGAGATGTGTTGAAATAATTGCGATTACTTGCAGGTGTCTTAATTTGGGCTTATCCTTATTTTAAGGGAAGTTTTGCCGAATTTTCGATATATTTTAATAGTTGATAACATTAGTTATTTTTTTATGCATATCATAACTTCGTCACCTATTTGGGTGATGGCAGCACACCTCAATTTCAGTGCCCATTGAACATCATGTTCAGGTTGTGTAAAAAACAGCCTAGGTAAGAGAAGGCTAGCCTTGGCCTGATTTGCAGACGAGGCATATCTTGCCTAGGCTTCTACCCAGGTGGATTGATGTCAGGCTAACATCAAGACGGCGGTAACCATGTTAATTAATTAATTTTTTTTTTCAATTGAGTGCATAAAATACACGCTCAAGAAAGTAGTTGGTTGAATCTCCAACTACAGTGCAAAATTACACGTGGTGCACTATAGGCCTTTGGATCTCCAACAACCACAATATCCAATGACCAGAATATTGTAAGTAGTGGGTTGTAAGTTGTAACGTCTTCCTGAAATATGATGAGTAAGACTAGTCATGACCCAAGTATTATAATCCTTACCCTACTTGTGTTAAACATATCAATTTTTAAAGGGTAGTGCTATCTACACACGCATTTTTACTTCTGACACAACACTTTCACTTTTCGGCCGTTGGATCGAATAAATTGAAGAAGATTAGCTACAAAAAATTAACAAAAGTATGTGGAAGTGAAAATGAGTGTGTGAGAATGCTCTTTTTAAAATTCCATTCAAACATTTTAATTTTTTCTTCCCAAAAAGGGTTTCTTTGGACTCACCACTTCAATTCTCATACATAAATAAGATAATGCCCCAAAAAGGGTTTATTGTCATGTTCTTGTCCTTATATCCACAGACCTATATATCCCAATAAAATGTCATGCATCTTTCTAGGCTCGTCTCCTTTTTTCTTGCACGTTCTGTGCAGCTATTTCTCGACCACAAAAGTCTGCACCAAGTTCTTTGGTAAGAACGTTTGGTGGGCCTTTGTCTAAACTCCTAGTCCTCTGTTTGGCTTCCACGAAATTTTTCTTTGAAAAGAAACGCACGCATGTCAAGCACTCTCAGCCCGAATAAAAGTTGGAGGAATTTCACATTGTTTTGAAACTGTCATATTTTGAATCAGTTTTTTTATCTGCCCAGATTCTAACTAGTAAGATTTTAGACGTTTCTTTGAAGCATCTGCATGTGCATTGTTCTGTTTTCATATTATTACTTCTCTATCTGTTTTGTTTCTTGAATATTATTCCTTAGAAAATTATTCGTTTTGACAGGGTTCCGATTACAGGACTTGTTTGGTTGCTCAGAAATTGATACAAGCAAAAATATATAAAAGGAAGATTTTTGAATAACATGATGTTTTCTAGTATAATTTGAGTTTGATTGCATATTCTGTTCTATCTGTCCAGACAGCTTCTGTTTTCACTTCTATGAACCTTTGGTTAATGGAAAACACTGGTCGTCCTGACCGGCACCCATCGAGCATGGAGGAAGGGTAGCTTACATGTTCGGCCAGCATCTCTAAGCGTAAAGTATCTTCCTCCGATAAGAACTGACGGTTGGACAGCTGACGTGATTGACGAACACATTAAAATGGTACATGACTTGTATGTCCAACACCTTCCACAGTCGCAGAGGCCTCTTGTGTTAGAAGAATTCACGAATTGTACAAAGTCGTAGTTGTGGAGGCTGTGGTACATTTTTTAGTAATCATCCATTCTTTAAATTACAATCTCCTATTAATTGTAACACATTTAGTTTCGAAATGGCGAGAGGCTTGTGGCTCAATTGATTAAGAGTAATAACCCGATACTAAGGTCCTAAGTTCGACTCCCCCTCCCCCAACATTGATTGTATAGAATTATTTTTAAAATGTAAAAGTATCTGTTTGTTGAGGGAAGAATAGATAAGGCATTATCATACGTAATGATGTTGTCTCTTATACCATTGTGTTTTGATATTCGTCACATGGTATTAATTTGAGAAATTTTTCGGATTTGGTATTGGTGAGAATGTATAGCTGGGCAGAGTAAGAACTTAAAGGAGCTTCAGAGGGATCTCAAGCAACAAATATAAGCAGATTTTGACACTAGAGTAGCAGAAGATCAAGAAAACATGCAACGGTGACACCATTAACTCAGTTGTGTAACAGTAACAGTATTGGAATCTTGGTGGAGGTGGGGAGAGAGAGAGAGAGAGAGAGGAAGAGAATTGAGTAGACATGAGCTTAAATGCAAGCGTAAATGTTTTTAATTACTTGAGTTACAAGCCTTCTGTTTCTTGATATGAGTATTAAAAGGTAAAGAGACCAATAAGTACATGCAAATTGACATGTTGTACATCATGAAGACTTATGTTGGGAGATTTGTAATTAAAGAGTTGTGGAAAACATATGTCCTCAAAGATTATAGTTCGAACTTTCTCGTACCTTAAAGTGTAGCCCAAGCACGAATGCTTGTGCGTGTTGTGTATGGTTGGATCACTTGGTGTCTTCCTTTTCCTTCAATTTAGAGTGGTTGAGTTGAACTTCTACTTTGTAGACACCTCACAGGAGACAAAAGGGTCATCGAATAACGGTTTCGATGTGATATCGGTCAACTACTCTTTGATTCCTAAATTTGAATTTTATTCAAAGGCAAACAAAATTCATCTTTAAGAAGCAAGTTTAAGTTAAGTTGGATGCTAAAGTACATCAAGGTTTATCTAGGTTCAAAGATTCTTTCCTATTTTTTTAGTCATAAAAATGAGTTCGTGCTGATGCGACAACTTGTGACTTAATGGTTGACTTTTGATCAACATTTGACGTTACTCGTCCATTTTAAGAATGTTAACATTAGATGTGCGCTATTTACTTGGTTAATGCTTTTTTGGGTCTTCTTGATATTGGTGTAAAAGGTAAGCGTTAACAACTCGTAGAAGGTAAGCGTTAACAACTTGTTGAAGGTGAGTGTCACATTCCTTGTGGCCTAGAATGTTTTGTGCACGAGGGACCATGTGGGTCTTTCCAAACTTTATAGAAAGCGAATCGGTTTTAGTCGGACTTTGTTAAGTTCTAAGACAAATTCTTTAAATTGTTCCTAGTACATATTCAGTCGTGGCACGGTTGGGCACTCGGTCAGCTTCTAACCTAATTCTTATGACTTAGTTTTTTAAACCTTTTAGTTATATGGTCTTAATAATCAATTTCGCATGCTCCTTAATGACAACGTTTATATATTCAATATGGATGCCATAGGTGACACACAATTACTAGCCTCTCTAGATGCGTGCGAATATACATTTCATACTTAAACATATATTTGAATTACGATGAATGAATCTCATTAAATTGTTATGGTTAGAATGAAAATGCGAAATTAGAAAAATACAAGATAAGTGACCAAACTATACGTTAATAGTAAGTAAGCCAAATTTTATCCATTTAAATTTTTTTTAGCAAATTTATCTCTATTCAACAGTTTTAATCGAATTCGAATTCAAATTCAAATTCAAATCTTTATAAGCATCACATTATCTATGTGAAAGAAAGTGAGAGAATTAGGGGGGATAAGAACAAGTAACAACCCGCTTTTATGTATCACCGCACTGTTTCATCGTACAACGTAACATATCATATCTGTCAACTTTCCATCCTCCCACCGTAATTAATTAATTAATTTATAATACAATTTCAGCATCGAAAGTGAAACAAGCAACCGCATTTTCTCCGAACTCAATGTTTGTGTTTCTCTAGAATCTTAGTTTCCCCACCTCGTCCCTTCCGCCCGATACAAAACAAAACCCAAAACCTCAAAATTCCCAGATAGCATCAACCATTGAAGCTTTTGGTTCTCCGCTCCACGGCGTCGTTGCAACACTTGCAGAAGGTACTGCCAGTTTCTTCCCCAGTCTCTCTCAATCACCTACCTCAGCTTGGTTTTTTTTTTTTTTTTTTTTTTTTTTCACTTGGGTTCACTTAAATTTAATCAAAGCTCAAAACTTGTCCTTGGGTTCAATAGCAAAGTTACTATCCAAGTTTTGTTGGTTATCAAGTGAAAAATAAAAATTTTAATTTGGTTTATCTATATTCTGAGTTGCTGTTATGCTCAAATTTGACCTGAAAAAAGAAGAAAACAACAGATAAAAATGAATAAATACGAAAGTGTGGTTGTTTAGGTGAGTGAGTGGAGTTAATTGCTTTTGTTGACTCCATTTATGAAAAAGTTCAAAAAAATATTTATAACATTTCTCAGCAACCAGGTGGAATATTAGCTTTTTTATAAATAAAATAAAATAAAATAAAATATTTATGAATTTTTTTGGTTGAATCTTCAGTATTATTTTGAAATCACATATTCCATATGGTCATCTGTATTCAGTTATAACTTGTATGCTGAAATTTGGAGGTGAATAATAAGGATCGAAAAGCTTCTGTTGCCTGGATTTTAATTTGTCTGTTGCTTCAGGTGTGTCTATATTTTTGTGGTACCTGGATTTCAATTTTAAGTTGAGTCAATTGCATAAAATCAATGTCGATATAATTATTCATTTTGGTTCACTAGCATCTCTTGCGGCTTATATTTGCCTTTGCCTATTTCTTTTGCTGTCTTTCTGATGACATTTTGCAATCATGCTTATCCATTGATGTTGTTTGTTGATTCTAAAGCAATCATTTTTCTGTTATTAGGAATCGGGTTTGTCCGAAAATCATAATTGGCGAATGATTTTGTTTGTCGCTTGACTTGGCGCACCGGAAGCTAGCGGCTAGCCTGTTCCATATAAGGGTATTAAATACATAACTTATGAGGGACAAACAATTGAAATTAAACCAAGCTATGAGAATTCTGAGACTAGGGAACGTAAGAACTAGAGAAGTAGTTCATGACAGAATGTTGAGATAGTTGGTGCACAAGGGTTTTCTCTGTGTTTGTGTTTGAGTTATACGATTAACTCAACTGTCTCTTATGCGATTTATACTTGGTGAAAGAATAAATATTTTGGTGTATGCAGAGTCTAGACAAGAATTTTTACAAGGCACTTGCTCGTAACATTTTCTTTCTTGTTCGTGTAATTATTTCTGTTGTGAATAGCAAAGTGGTGATTCTTTTGTATCTCAGTTTGCAGTTGTACGTCCTAACGAGTGGTGTCAAAATTGGTTCCTAGAGTGTCAGATTACTTTCTTATTCACCATTTTGTCGAGAAGTGTAGAGATAGACAAAACTAAGTAGTGAGTCAAACACACATTTGTATTTGGTGTCCAAGCTCTGCTTGTTCAAAAACCCACAAAACTTAATAAGGAAAGTAAATCAAACTTGACATGAAAAAGGAGAGAAAGGGGTGGACTTTCTCTTGGTTTTGGAAGAGTGGACCAAGCAGGAGTCCCACAACAAGCTATTAGCCCTGTGGTAGAGCGCGTCTCTGATAATTGTGTACTCAAAAGAAGAAATCTACCCATGAAAATAATTCGTTATCGATGATTTCCTTATAAAAGTCCCTTTCTCTTCGGTTTTCCTTTTCAGTCAGAATTTCTTATTGGGTTAATGTTACTTGCATGTAATGCACTATTACATACTAAATGGATTTTTCATTTATTATCCAGTATCTTTTTTGTAAACATTTGCTTCCTTTTTGCTTTGGAAATTTACTATATTTTTAGAATCATGATTATTTAAATTATGGAATTTACAGGTTGTGGTTAAGTTTTAGCTTCTGTAGCTCAAGAACACTCAATAGATTCATTGCCTAGTTTAGATGAGAAATATAGATCCTTTTCTTAATGTTTTTGTTTTCGTTAATATTGTTTGATATGGTAAAATTTTAAGCTATTAGCAGCTGGCTTGTAGCTTGTGGAGGTTAGCTTACTTAAGTATTCAGCTTAATAATTTTGAGGACTCTGAAAGTCTTGGTGCATATGAATATGATTTCAGATTGAATCCAATATATCATTGACATGTAATTTAAATATCATATTCCATATCAAATTTCTCATTTAAACTCACTTTAAAGCCTTCGCCTTGCTGTAGGGTGGGAAAATTTTGGGGAAGAGGAAGAGAGTTTGGTAAAAGTGCCTGAAGATGAGCCAGTCGGATCAAGGGAACACCCCTGATGGCTCGTCAAGTATCCCCATGAAGCGAAAACGTGGCCGTCCACGAAAATATCCCAAACTAGATCTGGAAGAGAATGTTTATGTGAGAAATGCTCCAAATCTGAACTCGGGGGAAAATGCTGGTACTGGTGTTCCTTCTGCTCCTCCTGGATTTCTAGGGAGGAAAGGATACCAGCCACATCATGGAGCTCCCAGTAATGGTGCAGCCAATGTCATGGTCGGAACAGTTGTTTCTGGTGTCATTGATGCAACATTTGATGGAGGATATCTACTTAGTGTTAGGGTTGGCAACTCTGCCACCACTATGAGGGGTGTTATCTTCAAGCCTGGACATTACGTTCCTGTTTCAGCAGAGAATGACGTGGCCCCAGATGTTCAAATGATGAGGCGAAATGTGATTCCAATTCCAGCTGAGATCTCTCATTTCCATGGTTCGAGCCCTCGTTCTAGAGATGCCATTCGATCTGTTAATCATGTAGCATCAAAACGCAAACATATGGTTCCAGTGGCACCCCAAACTGCTAGCCCACTACTGTCCAGAGGCAACTTGTTGCCTGTTATACTGCAACCTCGAAATTTATCTGAAGGGGTACCACTCACTGGTTTATCAAATTCTGTTGCACCAGGTGCTCCTCCTACCAATGGGCCAATGCGCACCATCTGGATGCCACTCGCCAATGAAGTTGTAAACCAATCTTCAGATCTGGTAACTTCAAAAGTTAAGCAGGTTCCATCAGTTCCTCCATCAAATGGGTCGATATCTACCAACCAGATTCCAAGGGTTGGAAATCAATCGTTGGTCTTCGAGGGTGGACACAATGAGAATGGTACTTGTAATCAACCATCAACAGAGAGGCTGAAGGCAGAAGCCAAATCACCGAGACTCCCAAATATACCTTTTGAAAAATTGGTTACCGAGGTAGTTACGACGATTGATACACCCTCACAAGCCCCCTCACATTCAACTGAGATGAACATTGAGGGGAGCAAGTCAACTGGCGGTGAGCTGGAGAACGATATGGATCAGCCTTTAGTGATTGAGCCTCTGCAAGCCATACAGCCTAAAGACTACTCTATACCACATTCAAAACCCCCGGAGGATGATAGAAATGGAAAAATGTCTGAGCTGTTGCAGGTAAAAGGACTCGCCTATTTCACATCTGCTTTAGCAATAGTAGTTAACTTAAAATGTCTGAAGATATACACTGATTCAAAACATCTCAACAAGTTTCTTTTTCTTTTGGCTGGAAAATCAACAAGGTTTTGCAGGAAAGCATGAGGGAAAGCGAGTCAACCACAGATTCGAAAGCGAAGATGGATGAACCAAGCTAGACTGTGTTCGGAAATGAAGAATCCGATGTTTCAAGAAAACCTTCCGAGGCATGAAATGTTTAATTTTATGGTTGCCACCTTGTATGGATATTGTGTACATGCTTTGGTGATGGACATCAAGTCTTTGCATGATGTGGTAATCATACCTGTATGTGGAGTGATTGTGTTTTTAAACAAAGCATGTTGGATATTAAGTACATAGAAGGTTGTTTTCTTAAAATAGTTGCAGTGGAAGGTTCGTCTTTACCCATTTTGTAGTTTATTTGAGAGTTATAACTACTTGGATATGTTTACTTACCTGCTCTAGTACTGTCAAATTACCCCAAGACAGGGAAAAAAAAGAAGTCAACAGGCTTGGAACAAAAGTTGCATGGTGCTTTGGAATGAATATAAAGATATTTTGGTTTTTTTAACTGTTAAGACTTGTTTTTTGTTTTTTGTGTTTTAAACAAAAATTTAATGGTTAAAAAATTCGGAGTATGAGATACTTTGGAGCGTTGCAGAAAATTCTGGGTTTGAAAACACAAGGTTAAAATTCAAACCAAGCAGACAAGATCAATAATCCCGGACATGATTGAAAGCTAAACAACTTAAAAAGGGGACAAGGAAACCTGGGATGTCTCAGCATACGGATGTTCCTCTCCTTCCAAATGAAGGAATTCAGAGCATTTATCATGGAAGTTTGTCAGTTGATATTATATTTTGTCCGGTCTATGGTCATTCATACCATGGAGAAGGATAGCTGCTTGGTAGTATTCAGTGTTCTTTCCTTTTTCTTTTAACAAACAATATAATATTTACAACCATTCCAATCGACTGCTGACCCACATAAAACAATCCATTGCTGACCCACTCATAACAATCCACAATGAGTCAATTTAGTATCAAAGTCAGTTTTCTTTTTATCCGAGTCAAATTTGAGACTCGTAATTAAGTAAAGATCAAGTGTCGTTACACTAACTGATAATGTGCAATTATATGATGGTACTATTTAGAAGTGAGCAATTGTAAAAGTAGCACTATATAATTTCCATTATCAGGACCAAATAGATAAACAATGCTACACGGTCCTAGATGTTTCCACTTTTTGGCCAATCAACATGGTACTATATATGTAATTGAACTTTACAACATAATTGTGTAAAGATTAGTGAGTTTTTACTGACTAACACTATTTGACTTGTGATACTTATCTTTTCAATGTTAAAATTTAAAAGAGATCCAAAGAATTCCCCTTTAACTTAATTGTGTTCTTTTCTAGGGCAATAACGACCATTGCCACGATTACACTATCCTAGCTACTTGGTAATCCAACTCGGACATACAAAATTCACCTTCAAAAATTGGTGCCGTTTTATTCCATGAGCCTTTAACCTAAGTCTAACCAATAACCCAACCCTCAGATTATGGTTCCCAGGTTTATATAACATATTATATATATACACATCTAAACATGCACCACCAGACATTTTCAATGAAACAAAGACTTGAAGCGGATTTGACAAAAACAAGATTGCATGCAAGCATACATATATAGAAAGTGGAAAAAAAAATCGAAGACAGCAATATATATAATGGGATATTGATCGATTACGTACAAATTAAATGTAGTATATCAAGTAAGAACACTATTACATTAGATCAAAAACCGTAGTTTAAACAATATGATCGATGATACTGGTCAAATGAAAAATCTACAAATTACAACAACATAATTAAACAAGTACGTACAACAGGTTGATCCATATTAATTGTTCCAAAGGTCGTCCAAGTCTATCATGATGTCACCAGGGGTGTAGTCAAAAGTAAGAGGGGGAAGTTGATCCTGATCCATGATATGATGATTCTGATCAAGATTGGATGGACTAGCTAGTGAAGAAGCCACGGTGGGATCGGGCTGGTGGTCTTGTGTAACGAAATAGTGTGGCTGATTAGCGAACCCAGTAGTAGCAGTACTCTGCGGCGGATCATACTGAGAGGAAGCAGTACCACTACTTGGGCCTTGTGTACTGGAGTAGTAGTACCTTGTCAAGTCCGTCATGACATTACTCACAAAACCATTGTGCTGAAGATAGTCTTCTTGGCTAGACATAGACATACCTAGTGAAGAGGCCATAGCTGGGTCTACGACAAAATTTAGCTCAGGGAGACATACGTAAGTATCTAGCGTCGCCATAGTCGTCATCGGTTCTTTTGTATCATAGTAGTATTGTGGCAAGTCTGTTACATTACTCTGCACTTGTTGCTCTTGATTGTCTGGCCCAGCCATAGCCAGTGATGAGGAAGCCACAGTTGGGTCTTGCGTAACAAAGTTGTGTTGCTGCTCAGCAAGCCTCAAGTTTGTAACGTTGAGAGGATCGCTAGTAGCAGTCGCCTGCTCCTGCTGCTGCGGAATATCATACTGATTAATAACCTCAGAGTACTGTTCTGGCTCACAATAGTTGTAATGTCGCTGATCCACATTAGTCACACTAATACTACTACTAGTACTAGTTGCATTAATATTAGTCTGCTCCTGCTCCTGCTGATTGTAGTGATCGCTGTTAACCTCAGAAGACATGGGAGTAACATAAGATTCATCAATATTCTCTGATTGCATCCGAATCCTTTTGCTCTGGGATTGTACTACTCCAGTCTCCTCGTGATCATCCGCCTTTCTCTTTCTGTCAAAGTTCTCTCGAACCCGGCAGACTACATATTCAGCATCTTTCGGACGACTACTTGGGCTTGATTTAATGCGCATGGCCTGTTTAGGGTGAAGGCTGAACTCGTGCATAATCCAGCAACCGCTTTCTTGAGGATACTTAGTATTCTTGTATTGATACCTTTTAAAGAAACCTATCGTCTCCCTAGTCTTGGGATCTTTGACTTTGGCCCCTGCGGTCTCGCCCTTCCATGTCCCAGACCCTATGGTGCGAGCAACTCGGGAACCCGTACCCTTGGCCGGCTTCAGCTTGGTGAAGAAATAAAGGTCTTCATCCTTTTCTAAATTCTGTCCGCCATTGTTATTCCATATATCTCTTGCCTCCATGCTACCATAAAGATCGATCTCAGGAATAACATTCTCATCCCTAAAAGGTGTGCCACGAAACTTGTTATACAGATAGTATCCGACTAACTCGTCGTCTCTTGGATGAAACTTGTAACCCACGGGAAAGGTATCAGAATGTGCCATAGATAAGGTAAGGTAGATATAGCTAGGTTTTCCTTCGACTTTCTTGACAAGATGGAATATTTATTGTGAGACAGATGGTACGACGTACGTAGTAGGGTTTAATATATGGAGGAGAAGAAAGTTTGATTAGGGGGATTTCTTGGAGTAGTGAAGTGGGTTTAATGTGAGTGAGTTCTTTGCTTGCCCTCCAATATATAGATGTAGGGCACCGCCCCTCAATCATTTCCACTTAATTAGCATGCAATTTGATTCCGAGTAGATAGGGTTTCAATTTTTTGGTCGAAAAATCAGGGTTTTAATTATATATCAGAAATCTGTTTGGATTAGGAAAACTCAATACTACTAATAATTCAGCTAATGTAACCCAAAAAAAAAAGAAATTAACTAAAACACCCACCTCATTTTTATTTTTGTAAATTAACACCAAACTCAGCTCATTACCCCTACCGTACTTTAACCCTCCGTTTGGATTAAAAAAAAAATATATATTTGACATTTAAATTTGTTGTGCGGAAAAGAAAAAAACTTAGGATTTGGGACCTTCAAGTCTCAAGTTTAAAATCTATGTAAATAGTTATTATTTCTAAATTTTCATGAGGGAGCGAGGATTTTTATTTTATTTGTTTTTGGAAATCTGAAAAATTTTGATACAACTGTTTTCGGGTTTTATGTTTTGAATGTTTGTCTTGAGAAGAAGGGAGGAGGTGCAAAGACTAGGAACCAAGTGTATTTGAGAAGTATGTTGTTTCACTAATGATTATGCAAATTAGCAAGTTGTTGTGATTAATTTGATCAATCAACCACATAAAGTTTTGCATTTTCCTAGCATTTCATCGAAAAAATTGGAACATGAAAATAGTGGTAAATTAAACTGAAAATCAAAGGAGCAAATTTGAGTTTAGTCAAATTAGTTCGAGTTGTCTTCTATATCCAAATTTGAATCTCTCTTCCCATAAATTTAGATAAATTTGGTTTAATTATCTTATCATTTAAATGTAATGATTAAATTTACGCGTGAGCAACACTTTTAAATCATGTTATGCCATGCTTTCGGAAGAAAAGTTGGGTGTTGGATTGTTCATCCGCTATATGCGCGTTATCAATAATTTAGACATAAAGACTAATCTTGGAACTTCAATGATACATTTAAATCATCAGAATTAAAACATATAACGGAATCAGGCATCCAAAAACTTAAAATTGTCAAACAAACTATATATAATATATAATGGATAAAATAAATCTTTTAACGAAACATGAATTTATTACATACTGTACTCATATGTCATAATACAAGTGAAATAAATGAAATATTTTCTATATCCCACATATTTTATGTGGAATACTTGCTTGAGTACCAGACACTTGAAAAAATTTCTCGATCACATGGTAATTGTAGTAGCCAATGACAAAAAGAAAGTTAAAGATAGAAACATGAGGGGAGGGCAAATTTCAAATCAAACGAATCAATACATTCATTGTTCGAATACTTTACAAAGCACTCTATCGTCAATTATGAACTTGAAGCAAAAACCATGAAACCCCCTCCCCTTTCGTACAAGAAAAGTTCATTTTTTCACAAGATAATGTAAAAGTTCGCCGACTTTAAGGTATACAAATAATGTTGGTATATTTCATTAATATATATATATATATGGTGTTGCGTGCATAATGGGAGCAGCGCGTTGTGTGAAGAAGCACAACCAAAGGCGGCAATGCCGTGTCTTTTGGCAAAAGGAGCATGGCTGCAGTTCCATGTTTCTGCTGCAGTGCCGTGTCTTTTGGTAAAAGGAGCATGGCTGCAGTTCCATGTCTCTTGGATGAAGAAGCACAACTAAGGGATATGTCCCTTGGTATGAAATCAGAAAGTTATGACTTCTTGCAGTTCCGTGTCACTAACAATGGGATTGCATCTTTTCCAGAAAATGAAAGATGCAGCAGGATGTGACTTTGATTAAAAGATGCATCCATTCGGTGGTAATGATGCAGGAAAGAACATGACTTTTTATATGCACACTTTGATCCATCTTTAAAGGGTTCCATAGTATATATATAGCCCATGTTGGCTGCATATT